TTCTTACAACGTTTAAAGCCCTTTCCAAATCTTGTCTATTAGGACCTTCTTATTATTAGGTGCGAATGGTCAAACCCCTACACTGACACTTATGAATCATACATTGTAAATTTACGACAATACAATATCGGTCCTTAGATTAAACAGAAGTTTATTTGCGGGCAGCAGTTAAGCAGGGTATTTTATTATAGCCACGGCCAGGCCAAAAACGTAAAAAACACGTTATTCGATCTTATTTTCTCTCGTTATAACCAAATTTGCCCCGCTATAGAGTGTTATAGTTCAATAGAAATTTCACGGGACATCTAATATACCTCGTTATAAGCGAAACCTCATAATAACCGTGTTCGTTATAGGGGGAGTATACTGTATATTTTAAAACCTATGATTGGATGTTTTATTTGGAAATAAAAATATGAGTGAGATAGATCACTTTCTTCTACTAATACTTATTCATTTTGGATATTTGCAGTGACTAGCAATGTAATTTGATTAACTGCTGATCTGAACAGTTCGGTGGTTTGCTGAAGAATTAATTGTAATAAACAGTATTTTTATCATTATGCTTATCCTGTCCTTTCAAAATATGCTGCTTTTGCATTTTATTGATGTCAATATTTCTAGTTCTTTTCCGATAATTTCTAAGATGGATTTTTTATTATTGGTGTAGGACTAAGAGACTTTAAACATATGGTGATAGTACCATATTACAAATGATTTCAAGCAGTTACAGTAGTCATCACTACTCAATAATACAGAGAAACTGTAATATCTAAATGTCCTCATTTGTAATCATTTATTGCAACTCTTGTTACAAAATATACTCTTCATATTAATGAATGTACTTCTAGCTTTTCTATTTGATTCAAATTCCCAAGAATTATCATGTTCATTTACTCTAATGTAATTGGTATGTACTCTTGTTTTTTATTGCTACATTAACACAAAAGCCCAGACAACTCTTGTTAATAATGAAATAGATCTATGCAACAGAGTATTGGAGTACAAGTCGAATTCTTGAATGTAGCACTAAAAGGAATCATGAATCAAGTTGGTCTAATAAATATTAAAAGAAAATCATCTTGACCTTTTGACCCTGTTTAATTTAACCCCAAATTCAACAGGATTCTTTCTTACACCAAGATATCGTGACTCTTATTTTAATTTCGCTTATCTCTTTCACCCATTTCTTGCAGTACTCCCGTATTCGTTTTTTTCTGTGTCCATGCTTTTCTAGGCATGTTTCTGTAACACCACATTTCAAATGACTAGTTTATACAGATTGAACGAATTTAAAACGGATCATATAATTTACTATATGTCTGTTTGAACTGCATTTGAAATAGTGGACTAATATAAAACTTGAACAAAAATAAATCCATACCCGGTGTTAGACATTGTATAAAATATCGTTTAACTATCCGTCTCTTTTTAGAACGCACCATAGTCTAGAGCGCAGCTCAAAGTCAATGTTGCCAATCGTCGTGTAATAATCCGATTTGCGGATCTTTTTGAGAGTTATATCTTCTTCGTATCTTTAAATAAATCGGATATTTGCCTATATTTTTCATTGTATTTACCAATCTACTACAACAGACTAATAACAGAAATAAACTTAATGGTTTGTAGTTATTTCAGGAGTTTGTAGTTATTTTAGAAACATTTAGTGGAATGATATTGGCAACACCGCTCAAAATCTCCATCTCCGATAAACGAAAGAGGGGCTTGCCCAAAGGCGGCCACTCACGATACAGCGGCGTTGTTCAACTTCGTTTTTAACTAAACACTTGCTTTGATCATATTATAGAAAATCGAAATAGCTTGATTTAGCGAGAATTTTTTAAGAGAGTTTTTTAAATTATATAAAAAACAAGAATGCTATAGCGAATAAAAGGTAAAACGTATCACGATAGAAACGCCGGAAACAGGCAATGGACATTCTAGTTTTAAAGTTCCAAGAAGTAAACAAAGATGCGAATGAAGAGTATGTAAGAAAAAAAAATTAACAATTTTAGAACATCCTATAAAAGAGAATTAAAATTAGCAGTGCAGTCCAGTAAATCGGGTGCAGGGGCAGACGAGATTTATTTTGCACCAAAATCTTGGATTCTTTGCACCAGAATCTATACACAAAGAATTTATACACAAAGTAAGAGACGCTAAAATGATTGTTTGATTTGACATGGTCGAGAACCGAACAAATACTGCGGCGCAGTATGGTGTGTGAGCGCACCAAATATACCAACAAATTGAACAACGCCTCTGTCCGATTATGTCAAACGACACCGCTGTACCGTGAGTGGCCGGCTTTAGGAAGCGATAGGTGGTTTGACCACCTATGAATGAGTTCTTGAATTAGTTCAGAATCCAGCAGCCCGCTGAAGTATTGGATTTTTATCATATAATTATTTGACAACCTTTTGTTGGCCAACCACCTACAGCAGAATTGAGCGGAAATACATAATATTTCGTATGCTCCGAATTTATTTCGTTCAATCTGTATGTGTTCTTGCTTCAGTGTCCAGGTGTCAAGTCCGTGTTGTAGTATCGAAAACACATAACATCCCAGAGGTATACTCTCAGTTGTAATGTAAGTACATTAAATAGTAATGGAAACATAATACATCCCTGTCTAACTCCTCTCCTTATTTTAATTTTTGTACTGGTTTCGTTATCTATTACAATTTTTGCTCTTTGATTCCAGTAATGGTTTGTTATTATTTTGAAGCTCTTTTGTCTTTAGAATTTGGACCAATTTTTCATGTCTTACTTTGCCAAATACTATTTCAAAATCATTGTAACAAACATGCACACCCGCTTTTATTAGGCTGGGACGAAATACTTTTTTATTTTTCTACAAGGCTAGTTGCCAAAAATTTTACCTAGTATTTATATAATCCTATACCAAATTTGGACCGGTTTTAAAAATATTTAACCTGGCCATCGTAAAGAATTTACTTTTTGTTTAAAAAATGTTTGGGGCTATTACAAAACTGTTAGTAAACTGCCGTATTATTCTGCAAAAAAATAGTCCATATAAGTATGTGTAAGTTAGACCGGCCCCTTTATTAATATTAAATATTTTGTTTCACCACCACAACACCAGAGAAATTTAAGAAAAATGGCCACTGGTAGTACTGACAGGCAAGCTACAAATATTTTAAGAATAAAAAATGACGGCAAATTGTATGAGGCTCAAACGCAATCTATCAATTTAACTGAATCCTTAGAACATAGATGGTCCAAGTGGTCTTTGTCCTGTTATAAACTCACCATCAACGGAAATTATAACAACAAAGACAAATAGTGGTAGCAACGAAAGTTCGGGAGTTCCTCCCAAATAACGCACAATCTTTAACTAATACAGCGCTGCTTATCGATAAAAATAAAATTCGGAGAGGATCTAGGAAAACAGACGGCAACTTCAGCATAAGAACAAAAATTTAAACAAGTCAACTGAAGGTCTATACTTTAATGGAAGAAAAGATCAAACCATGGTCGTCATGTATTTAAACCCCTAGAAGCTGTCCCGCCTCTTATAAATGAAAATGATCTAAGTACAGACCAACAGTATTTGTACAAACCATCTAAAGCAATTGTAGGTGGAATATGTTCTCAAAGTTTGTCAGAGAGAAATCCAGGGAAGATGGCACACTCAAGTCGGTTATCGACAACTTTCTTAGAGTTACTGATCCTTGAAAGCTTAAAGATTTTAGCTGAGTTTGTAATAAAAGTATATTCTGGTATGTAGTTTGAGATAAAAACACAGCCAAGATTGAAATATATTGCCAGGCATCTATGGAAATTAATCCAGGTCTCGACAGATTTTCCAAATAATGTGTCATCAATTATCAATAAAGTTATTCAAGACCATACTTATTTTGCACACCCGAAAAACATTCTACTTTCTATGTTAAAAGATTCACGTCAACATATTAGAGAGGTAGCTGTCAGACGAATTTTAAAATATAGGAAAGCTGACACAAAAAAATCACATTTTCAAAGTACCCCAAATCAATTTCGATGCAGATTACATAGATCTCATAGACTGGGTGAACAGTAGTATAACAGAGCCTCCTCTAACACAGCATTTGGAAGACGAGGAAGGGTGTGATATGGTGAAACAAGTTCCAAATTTTTGACAATTTTTTGTGCCATACTCAAGCGGTAGAGAGATGTGTTAGTATAATTACTGATGCGCCAATAAAAGTGTGTGGTGAAGAATCTAGAGGTGGTTACAGTTTGAACGATACGGAATACGATATATAAAACTAAATGTCAATGCTGTGCTTTAAGAAGTAAGTAAACATGTTGAGCAATGGAGGGTGGTAGGTTGAACTCACCGTACAGCTACGTCTTCGTAGTGAGTTTGGGTTAAATGAGTATACGGAATAGTGTTAAATATCTACATAATATTTCAATGTAAAGAACCTTTCGTGCCGAATAATGATTCAAGCAAAGAGCTACACAGTTCAGCACATAAATAATAAACATGCATTTTTTTAACCCTCTACATTTTTAGTCCTGGGGACCGATTTAATTTTTATAGATCGTGATGAAAAATTTTAACGAGATAATCGCATCGATATTAATATTTTAGACAATAGCATGCCCCAAAAATAAAAAAAATATTTTGTTAGGCCCTAAGGACGTGGTCAAAAATAATTTATTTCGGTCTATATTTGGTACACAGTGTAAGGATGATCATATAAAACTTTTTTTACTAGTCAGTTTGAGGTTTCCCAAGAAAAAATTGTTTATCCATGCATCTGAGGGCTATCAATCAACTCAAAGCATATAACGCCATCTGGTTCCTAGTCTGTTTCTGAACCCAAACTGATCGTCTATTTCTGCTTCCAGTTTTTTATTAATACGACCATGTATTATTTTCTAGAATAATTTGAGACTAACTAGTCGTTTTTTATTGTTTCAGATGAAGCAACAAACAGATTTTTCATATTGTTTTCAAATTTGAAGTTAATTTTTTTCTTCTTTTTTAGTTAAAGTTCTGGAGAAGTCGCATATTATTAGGGAAAGAAAAACTGAACATGTGATGAGAGAAAAGGAAGTACTAAGAATTGTAGGAAATGCTTGTCCATATATCGTAAGACTGTACTGGACCTTTCAAGATCTTGAACGTCTGTATTTTGTTCTAAGTTATGCAAAAAATGGTGATTTATTCACGCAGATTGAAAAACATGACCAACTAAGTATTGAATGCACCAGATATTATTTAGCAGAACTTACTTTAGGATTAGAATATCTACATAGCAAAAATATTATTCATAGAGATTTAAAACCTGAGAATATTTTGTTTGATGAAAATTGGCATATAGTAATAACAGACTTTGGCAGTTCTAAGATTCTTGAGGACTCAGGAGGTGGTGATGTAGTTAAGAATATTGATTCAGAAAGAAGAAGGAAGAGTTTTGAAGGGACAGCTCAGTTTATTAGCCCTGAAATGCTATCAGAATATACCTCTGGTTGTTCTTCTGATTTGTGGGCACTGGGCTGTATAGCATACCAGATGGCTTCTGGAGATATGCCATTTACAGGTAATAAATTACTGTAATTATTTTTTTTTAATAAATAGTAATTTTAAACGTAACTGTTGTGATATTCAATACATATGTAAATAAAGGGTGTTTTTTTTAGAGGTGTAGAAGTATAAGTTCGTATCGCTTTTTTAACTGTTGGCCATTTTGACAGCTGTCAAGCGATTAATGTTAAATTTGGTTTGGCATTTCAGCACTAATAGACTTGACGCCTGAACAACGCTTCCAAATTTTTCAAATTTATTTTAAAAATTGTGGTTCTGTTCGAAATACGCACACTTCGTTAATTTTATGGTCAACATAGTAGTTCATCAGAGCAAGTAATTCGATTAACCATGGAACTTTTTTGCACCACGTTTACTCTAAATGATAATATGCATCCACAGACACGTCGTACAGTGCATACAGAAGAAGTTGTTGCCGCTGTAAAGCGTAGCATACAAGAAGACCCGAATCAGTCTCTCTGCCATCGTGCACAGCTGCTGGATACGTGTCCATTGACTTTATTATGGAAGATTTTGCGGAAAGATCTTGCTTAGCGTGCTTACAAAATCCAACTCATGCAAGAATTGAAGGTATATCATCACCTAGTAAGGTGTAGATTCAGTGAGTGGGTCGAAACCGTTGATTCCGATTTTCATAAGCGAATTTTGTTTAGTGATGAAGCTCACTTTTGGTTGAATGGCTACGTCAACAAACAAAACTGACCTATTTGGAGTTAATAGAATCCTCAAATATATGTCGAGAAACCAATACATACAGAAAAACTGACTGTTTGGTGTACTTTATGGTCTGGTGGAATCATCGGACCGTACCTCTTCAAAAACAATGCTGACCTGAACGTTACAGTCATTCTCCAATTGAACAAACATGATGTACAGGAGCTGTGGTTTTAATAAGATGAAAGCTCGTGGCACACTTGATTTATTGAAAGAAACGTTAGGTAACCGCAGTTTCACGTTTCGGACCGTCAATTGGCCTCCAAAATCGTGCGATTTTTAGAGGTATAGACTATTTTATGTAGGGATATGTAAAAGTGCTAGTCTACGCCGATAAGCATGAATATATTGACCATTTAAAGGACATTATCCGCGTTATTGCTGATGTACGGCAACAAATATTGGAACAAGTGATCGAAAATTGTACCTCCAGATTACACTACGTCAGAGCCAACTATGACGGTCATATACCAGAAATCATGTTTTAATTAAAATGCTAAAAGATTATCTTTCGAGCGAAGTCAATTTTAAGTCAATTGATAAAAATCATCTTTGTTTTATTCCATTTCAAAGTTCTATACCTCTAAAAAACACCATTTATTAGTGACAAATGGGTGAAAAATATGTTATAAGCAAAAAGGCTTTTTTTGAAATGAAAAACTTTTTTAGCGACGTTGTGCACTCTTTAGATAGCGAAAAAGCATTGAATAGGCGTCAGATTTTTGCGACCGTCATTGCTACACAAATTGGTCGCAAAGTCGCACAGCTCGAGAACGGCTCGACGGTATGCAGTCTCGTTGCAAAAGGGAGAGGGTAACTAGTACAGTGACGGAAAAACTAACATGGCGGCATTGCCAAAAGGGCATTACATCATATCTCTGTTGTTAGTGGTCCGAATGAAGTGTGTGATACGGTAAATAAAAGGGGGATAATGATTATATTAAGATGAAAAAACAAACAAGGCGACTACCAAAAGGGCACTACACCGCATCTTCGTTATTAAAGAACTTATAGTTACATGCGACATATCAGATGAAAATAGATTTACTATAAGACAAATTTTGATTTAGTGACTTCAAGAGGGCCTCTGGCTAAGTACAAAATAAACAACTGATCGAATACTAACATGCAACATAGCAAATGAAAGGGAGGATATAACGATTATGTTAAAATAGAAAAACAAATAGGGCGACTACCAAAAAAGCACTACACAGCATCTCCGTTATTAATCACCGTATAGTTACATACAAAATACCATAGGGCACTATGGATGAAAATAGATTTACTATAAGACAACATTTGATGTATTGACTTTAAAAAGACGTCTGATGGAGTACAAAAAAAAACAACTGATCTAATCGTCACATGAGACATAGAAAATGAAAGGGGGATATAACAAATATACTAAGGTAGAAAAAACAAACAAGGCGACTACCAAAAGGAAACAGCATCTCGCTATTAATGCACGTATAGTTACATACGGGATATCAGATGGCATTATAAATCATAATAGATTTACTATAGGACAAATTTTGATTTATTGATTTAAAGAAGGCCTCTGAGTACACAATAAACAACTAGCCGAATCATAGCATATCAAATAAAACAAAGTGAGACGTCATAGGTTAATTTTATTTAGGTTAAATTAGATTTTGTCATGTGGGCAGATTATTTAAAGAAACATGCCGATCCAAGAGGGATGAAAATAGCAATGGACAGAGAAAAATGGATGTCAGAGTGAATGGGTGGCCTATATCTGAACGTAGATATAAAAAGGGCTTTAGATAGATAGATTGAATGTTTATTATGTTTTTTAATAGTTTATTTTTTTTAGGAAATAGTGAATTTCTGATATTTCAAAAAATCCTGAAGTTGGATTATTCTTTTCCTGAAGATTTCCCCGAAGTAGTTAAAGATTTTGTAGAACAATTAGTAATTTTAGAGCCTAATAAAAGACTTGGCGCCACAGACGAAAAGCCATATTCTAGTATAAGACAACATAAGTTATTCAGTGTGCTCAACTGGGATGATCTGGGGCCTCCTCCGAAAATATCGGACGATATGGGCGATGGTTAGTATTTTTATTAAATAATATTTCTTCATTAAGTTATGCTTGTCAAACTTATTTTTAATAATGTAGTTCTGGTTTGCAATATATCTTCTACAGCTCAACTAATTTAAACCATTTCACACTGTTTGGGGCGTTATGTAACGAACATTTTGTTTGTTTTAGAAGTAACTCCAGAAATTCCTGCTCATCTAGAGCCTGGACTGGACGAAGAAAAAGCTTCAAGACTTCACCTGGACTTGCTAAGTCCAAACGACATAGTTTTAAGAAAGAAATCCCCGCCAAATAGAAAAATTACCGACCTAACTGAAGCAGAAATTCGTGAAAGACTAGAAGCTCAAAAGAGCAATAGATATCATAGTTTTGTAGAAGATAACTTAATATTAAAACAGGGTTTTATCGACAAGAAGAAAGGACTATTTGCTAGACGAAGAATGTTTTTGCTCACTTTAGGGCCTCATCTGTATTACGTAGATCCTGCAACTATGACCCTCAAAGGGGAAATACCGTGGAGCAGGGATCTTAAGACAGAAGCAAAAAATTTCAAGATATTTTTTGTTCATACAGTAAGTAGAAATTACTTTTTTTATTTCATTCAATTACAATTGCATTGTTTTTATTGTGTTATATAGTGTGGAAACAACTTATAGAATAAAATGTTTTTAAATGTTTCTTAATAACCTATTCTCAACAAATTATATCCTGTAATATACGAAACATGAAATTTTTAAATAGAAGGTTAGATTTTGAAATTATTTATAGTTTTCTTCAAGACATGAAAATAAATACTCAAAATATTCTCCGTCTAGTTGTTGGCAATAATCCAGTCCCCTATGAAACCCGAGCCAATTTTTTTTTAAGTTTGAGGTGAAATAGTCCATATTTCTGTATTTATCCTTTCTTTGAAGTCATCAATACTCTTCGTGCGGTTTTCTTTTTAATGGCTTGATATGTCCAAGTTCTCTGAATTGGGCATGAATTTTAGACACAGTACCATTTTTTTCGTTTTTGTAGAGGGGGGTCTGGAATCTTCAAAAGTCATAGTCCAGGACGCCTCCTGACTGGCCTTAGTGCAGGATTCGTACTCCCGGCGATAATTTCCGAGCCAATTTAAAATGCCTTCTCGTCGCCGAGTCTACGCCGAACGCCTACCTGCTAAACCAGACCCTCCGCTGTCATTCAGCGATCCGGAAGCGGAATGGCCGCTGTAAGGCCGGCATCTCTTCCGAAACACTACCTTCGTGCATTCATTCTCCATTCACCCACACTCCATTCATCAGCAAGGAAGCTCCCTGTCTCATTCCAGGTAGCGCGTTGAAGACCTTCATCGCACCTAGTACGGCAACACTCCCAGACGGATATTTCCCCCTTCCCCACAGTCTGACTCACGCAGTCTAACTTATACAGTCTGACTCACTTTTCTAGCTTCAACTTCCAGCATCTTTCACTCTTACCTTTGCCGTTGGTCCAGTTGTCTTTCTTCCTCTTCTTTTTTCTTGATCACCTTACGGATATAGTTGTGTATGGTAGTCCAACCTGATTTATTTTCAATCATTCTCTCAATAATTTCTCTCACTTTAACAAAATTTACACCTGTCTCTCTTTCCATTGTGTTCCTTTCTACTATCCATCTGTTGCAATCTAACGTCGTATGTGTCTGAGTGTCCACAGTGTAGGCATTCATCTGTGTCAGCCTTGCCGAACCTAGAGTGATAGGCCCTAAAACACCCGTGTCCTGTGAGCACCTGCGTCAGGAAATAATCCAGTTGCCTGTGTCCACATTCCACCCAATCTCTTATGTTCGGGATCAGCATTTTCGTCCACTGTGCCACATCCTCCGTGGTGTCCCATTCTTCTTGCCATATTTCAATTGACCTTTCCCTTTCCTCTGTTCTCTCGGCCATAGTAAGGTTTGGGCCTCTTCTCTCATAAAGTTCTTTTCTTTCCACCGCCAAAACAAGCAATGGAACACATCCAGTGATGGTCCACAAGGCTGCCGCAGACACAGTCCTGTAGGCGCATGCCACTCGCAACAGACTTGTTCTGTCCACTTGTGTCATGAGCTTCCTATATATAGCCCGTTATCTCTACCGCTTGCTCCAGACTGGTGCCGCGTAGAGGACGATCGACCGTACAACACCGTGTAAGATCCTCCTTCTTTCGGATTTGGGTCCCCCAATGTTGGGCATCACCCTCCCCAACGCAGCCGCACTATCCGCAGCCTTCCGGGCCACCTCCCGCACATTTTCTCCCCCCATTTTCCATTCTAGTACAATGTCACTCCTGGGTACTTTACTTGTTTCTTGGGTATTAAACATGTTCCCATACATTGTAATTCAACACTTTGCCTATTCCTTTTCTCCTTCAGAATGATGGCTTCGGTTTTCTCTGTCGCAAGTTTCAGTCCGTGCTGCGTCATCCATTTCTTTACGATGCGGCCTGCGTTCCGAACCCGGTATTTGAGATCTGGCTCATCCCGAGCCACTACCAGTATAGTGAGGCCATCCGCGAATGCGAAGAGGGTAGTACCCTCTCCGTATTCTTAGTTCATCCCTGCAGGACTCGGCCGTCACGTCCACGATCGTACTCTTTTCCACCATAATCCTTCTCTCGAACAGATACTCCTCCACCACATTGTTCAGGTAACCAGGACATCCTCTCTCCTCCATTGTCTTCATTACCTCGTTCCACTGCAGCGTATTGAATGCATTCTTAACATAAAACAACAGCAGGGCCACCCAGCGATGTTCATCCCCTCTTTTTTCGTCATCATCGTTTCATCAGAAAACCGTGCTTTTCTCTTTACAAAAACCAAATTGCCTCCAAGATAAACCACCTATTCTCTTAATCATTTCGTCTGTGCGTACTCGCAGCATCCTTTCATATAGCTTACTGATGCATGAAAGAAGACAGATGGGGCGATACTTTTCCCTAGCCTTGGGGAGCAATATTAACCTCGATGTCCTTCAAGGCTCAGGAAAGGTGCTTTCATGTGTTCCAGAAGCCACGCAGGCTCTCTCCGTCCTAGATCCTTCACCGCCTCAGCAGGTACTTGATCTGTCCGGGGAACCTACGCGTCTTGAGTAAACCCAATGCCTCGACAAGTTCAGCTCCTTCATCCCTCCATACAACATGCCATCTGTCATCCGGAAAGAGCTCTCGTGTTACCTCAAGCTTTTTGTAGGTATTTTCATTTTCATATTAGACACAGTACCTTGCGAAATATTAGGCAACTGATACCCCAGATTAAATAAGTTTGTTACTTTAGCTTGGTTCTTACAATTATCCCCGTAAAAGCGAATTTCGGTGAGTCTCAGTTAAATATTTCATTATTACTTACTGCAAGAAATTAGATTTTAATTAGGAATTTACTATTTCAGTGTAAACTGTCAATACATCGACAACTGACAGATAAAAATCCACGTTATTTACAGATTTAATTTAATTATTAGCATACCTGACAGTTTTTAATTGTTCATTACAAAAAATGTCAACAAAACACAATATATTAATACTTAGTTTAAAAATTTGGTGTCTGTATTTAACTAATTAAAAAAAACAATTATTTAAAGCGTTATAAATTATTTATTTCAAAATTTTAATTATTGAATGTCTTAGCGAAAATTCACCATGTAATATTCATAATAGGTTCTACATGATATAATTTGGGGAAATCACGTTTTTAAGAAGTTTTTAACAATGTAAAAAAATATAGAGTGTTCCATTAAAAATAAAGATTGTGAAGATTGCTATACTTGCTATACTCTGTATTAAAACAGAAAACACAAATAACCATATTTGATTGGCGTTGCTTGTTTTTCATTTCTTGGTTTTTTCCAAAATATATACAGTTAATCACGTAAAAAAGTCCATCCTCGTATTTGGCAATATTTATTATGTGACATATATTTTGTGAAAATGCTAAAACGGGTCGATTTTTATTCCAAAGTGGACATCGTTTAACGGTATAGGTATCTGTCATTTGTGAACCCCTACCTACCAGTACGAAAAATCGTGTGGCACATCATTAGACAGGTATTTCGCTGGAGCATTCAGACATCCATGCTTTTTTCCATATTAACTCTTTTCTTGTGGAAACGTATCAGGTTACTGGAAGTGTTACATCTCTTATGCCTGGTTCCACCAACATATCTTCGCCTTAAGACGTGCCTTAAGCTCAGCTTACGAAACATATGCGTTGCACCATTGAGTCAATTTTCAGCGTAAACCGATTCTAATCTCAAGTCCCCGTTATTCTCAGCTTAAGTTGCTGTCTGAGTTTAAGATGAGCAATTTAACCTCAAAAATTGAAAGTTGTGTTGTGGAATACAGATACCTACACATTTTTTTTATTTTCACCTGTATCTGTTACACTCTAAAATAAATAAAACAAGGAGAGTTACTACTTAAGATATAATCAATATTTAAATCCAGAAAAAAAACTATGTATCATCTGATGACAAGAAAAACTCACAGTTTTGCTAGTATTTAATGTTTGTTGCAGTTTTGCAAGAAAGGGTCAACAACTACTATAATCAGCCATATAATATATAAAAACCCGTATGATGTAGATTATGAAATTAGTTGATTGTGATAGTGATCATTTCCAGAAAAAGGTACAAGGAAAGTAAATGGTCATTGACTGTAATATACGCTTAATGACTTTTTGTTGTTAACACATGACAAAGCATTAAAATATATATACTTATTTAAATTAGCACATGAACATAAAATAAATCTTAAGACTCTTTTCATCACTCAATAATTGACAGGTTACATGGTTGCCACGTGAATTGCATATTAAACTTCTCAGTTAAGACGTGCTTAGATAAGACGTGCTTAGAGCTTTAAGCAGAGCTGGGCTAAGCTGGAGCTTAAGATCTCTTGGTGCAACCAGGCATTAAAAACTAAACGTAACGTCTATATTTTACTTGTGATAATTTCAAATTTTTCCCGCCACGTCAAAACCTACATTAAAATGAAATTTGAAAAATTAATAGGAAAATGTAATATTTAATGTAAATAAAATGGTTTACCATGTTTGTTCGAATGCATCTTCTGTGCTTCCAGTTCGTGTTACAAATGAAAGTGACATCACGTCCGTTTAACCCCACCTGTTTTTAGAATATGTATTAATTTTATATGTGTGATTCGATCAAAAGCGTTTTTGAAATCAACAAAGCAGGTGTAGAGGTTTCTTTTCACTTCCAAATCTCTTTTAGTGATTAACGTCAGTCCTTGTACCCTTTTTGAAACCATAATGTGAGCGGCTTAGATATTCATTGAATTTCTTGTAAACATAATTAAAGATTGTCCTCATGAAAATTTTTGCTTTGTGACTCATCAAAGATATTGTTCTGTGATCATCACATTTTCTTACCTTGTGCATCTTTGATAGAGAGCCAGTCTAGAGGTTGTGTCTGTTGTCAGATATTTGGTTACGGCAGGACATAAATTTTTGAAGCATTCAGCCACCATTACGTCTTCAACGGGTGCTTTCTGTGCTTTTGATTCAATTATGGCCTGTGTTATCTCTAAGGGGAGAATTCCGAGGTTAGGGTCCATATCAACTCAGGGATTTTGTTCGGGTGTGTCATCTCCAAATAATTCCATAAGGTATCTTTGGATATCTATTTCATTGTTTTCATCAGTTATTATTTGCAGGCGTTTGAGTTTCTACAGGCATGAGACCTTTAATTTTCTTGTTGTGTAATTCTTTGTCTTAATGTTTGGCCTGGAGATCTTTACTTCCTTACATCTATCCCCTAACTATATCTTTGCTTCTTTCTTTGATCTATTTATGTATCATCGGTTATCCAAGATTCCGTTTTCTTCGATTTAAAAATATAATCTAAATATAAATTAATCTGAATAGTATATTTAAAATAACATTTAATATGATTTCAGCCTAATAGAAAATACTACTTAGAAGATCCAGAAGGCTACGCTTTAGAGTGGTGCAAGGCAATCAATGACCTGAAAAGTTACTATTTTCCAGAGGAAACTTTACTTAATAATGAAACCCTTTAATGAACGGATATTGAAAAACTAATGTCAAATTCTTATTCATGCAAAAGGTTTTCGTATTTTTTTTTAATATAGTTTTAAATTTCATAAAAACAACCTGTATATAGAGTTATTTGCAGAACTATTTTGACTTTCTAAAACGTTCCTTTTATATGATATGTTTTTTATGATATATAATTATTTTCAGGCAGGTGCTGGCAATTGTCACTATATTCTTCCCCTCATTCATAAGTTCTTAATTTTGGATCTGCATCTTGTGCTATTTTCATTTTTAGTTTTCTTCATTTCAGTAAGTTTAGGATTTCATATTTTTCCCATTCTCGGTTACATTGGCATAGTAGCACATTTTTAAATAACCTTCTAATTTTAGCAATGATGACTGGGTGCTAATCCAAATCCTTTTATTTGGAAGCATAGATGTCAAAGACATTAGCCATCTTAAACAATTCGCTGCCGATCCCGCGCCGGCGCATGATATAGTGATTAAGTTGGGTGCCAATGATGCTTGAACTCGTTTTCGTCCACAACTCTATTTATTTCAGACATTAGCGGCATGAATTACTATATTCGTCGGCAGCGAATGTGCTAATGAGTACTGTCTTTGCATTTGCTGTGTGTTGTTTGTCTCATTGGATATTTATAATGGTGCCAAGATGCGCGATATTGTATAGGGTCTTTTGATGATGCATGGCCAAATTAGATAAACAAGGTTAGTTCGGTACCAATGTGGGTAATTTTCTCTTGAATGTAACATTTGACATCCTCTCTTCAAGACTAACATTTAACGTAACATGAGACGTAAAACGTGACATTTGACATGAAATGCGACGTCCCCTTTCCAACTAGACGGCATATGTCATAATTCTAGTGCTATTCAGTAAAATTATCTGTTTGGTTCACGGAGTAACTTTGCTTATATGATGACCATTGTATTTGTTCGTAACTAATAATCATACACTTTTTCTTGTTTACCTTTACATTTTTTGCTTAAGTTTTGGTGCCGTGTTGCCGGCTGACCTTCCAAATTCGTTATTGAGGCTCGCAATCAAGCCTGATTTTTTCGAAAATTACGTAACATTCTTTTGTTGTAAAAATGTTGATAATTTATTAGTATATCGTCGTTATGTCATTCTAAAGTTGTTTAAAAAATGTTTTTGTAATGTTGAACAACGAAATTAAGCAGTTACTTGAAGTTTCTCATGATATCGGTCAGGATTACATATACTATGCCTTTAATTTTCTACTTCTAGCCTTGTCGACCTCTAAACTGTCTTTATAAATAACATTAGTGTACTAACTAAAGAACAGACGGAATTGTACACATCCATATTGGCCTTCTTTTTGGAATTTTACTTAGCAATTGTTCTACCCCGAATTAAATTTATTCTATCTGTTTATGTATTCATCATTTCAATATAGGTGTATATTTTACTTGCAAAATGTACTATTGCTTTTTGCAGTATCAGTTGTAGTTGTCCATCATGTTGCCCACGGTCGAAAGCTTTTCCGTAATAAAAAAAAAACATTCAAACCAGTCGTTGTTCTAGATAGTTTTGAATAAGGTTTGTGTTTGCTTTTCAGTTAATCGAGATGTACTTTTTGTTATATTTAGATGGCGAGTATCCTGCAGTAGTAGTTTAATATATGTGTTTAAAATATTAGGATTTTAATATCATAAAGGTATTTATATACTGCTGGTCAGTTTATATTTACCTATAACACGCTGTTAAAAAAAAAACAAATTTATATATTTTCATCCATAGAAATGTGTTCTGACTTACGATCAATACTTTCAGAGTACCATGTATATTTTGTATATATTAATATTTAATACAAAATGTTCCAAAACTGCGTATAGTAAAATAATTATTTTAGTTATAACAGAGATTAAGCAGCTTGACAAAAATGTCTTTCGATTCTTCTATCAATCTGTGAAAGCTCCACGTAATGTAGAGAAACGTTTCGGGCTTATTTACATGTAAGGTGTCCATAAACTCAGCTAACACAGGAAAACTGATACTGAAAACAAAGATAGAAAACAGTAGAAAAAAATATGGTAGAAAAATTTCTTAAGAATATCATCTTCAAACTTGGTAGATACATATGTGTTCAATATTGAAAATTATAGCGGCGTGTGTAGGTCTCTAAGTATGATTCAAGTTTATTTACCTCAACCTTTATATATAGGATGATTCTTAGGGTGCTTATATCGCTATCGGGAACATTATAAAGAAACTATATAATTAATTTCTGAAGATTTTGTGCATCTGGTTGTTGTTCATCCGGTTGTTTCCTTAGAGTATCTACTACCTCCAAGACCCAAAACTCCAGCCTAAATCCTGAAAATGAAGAATACATTGTCAAAAAAATTGTAGACCTACGTGGTGTGGCAATTAAATATGCGAACTGGTGCTGCAAAATATTTTATTGATCACCAATTACATTACAAAGCTAATCTCCTTCAATGTACTCTCCTTACCTATCCCTACATCGCTCCGTACTAACTTTCCATTGTTAGAAGTCAGGTTTCATACTGTCAAATCTTCTCTTAAGCTCCAATTTTATCTTAGCAAAAAAAATTACAGTCAAGTCCAATGAATACGATGATTGGCCCAATTATTCTCAACTGCATTTGCTCTGGAGTGAGGAATTTTGGCACTATTTTTGAGCAAACTTTTAGTATGTTCAATGATTTACGCAAAATCTGACACACTTTCTTTGTTAGTCTCATGACATTTCAATAAGGGCTTGGTCATGCCTTGGCTCTTTGCGGATTAGTTTACCAATTGTCTGGATGTTTTTGACGTTTAGAGCCGTCAAGATCGGTCGTTTCAAGTTTTCCCTTAAACCCACTTGAACCTACTCAAAAACTTGTGTGCGTGATGCATATTTCTCAAGAAACTTGAGGTTAACTCGTTGCGTCATCTGTACACTCTACATTTTTTTGACGAGACTCGAAGGCAAGGTCTTGAATGTGCAATTGCTACAGCGACACTAAGCGAAGTACAACCGTACTTAAGGAAGCATCAATAGGCACAAATACATTCTCGCACGAGATCGGCGTGCTCGCTGTTTGCCGGTAGCAACACCAGTTCGGTTATTTGATTGGCACCTCATATTTAAAAAATTAAGTAGTACTAGCCCAAGTCAGTTTCACTATTACTGTCATCACCTAAGTTCACGACAATTTTTTCTCAGAGGAACTATTTGTTCAGCTCTTCATTTGTATTTTATTCACTTCTAATTCAATCAATCATACTACAGATAAATTAAGGATTCTATGTATAATATAATAGTAATGAGGAAGTCTTAACACCTTATGTCCCCACTTCTTTCTTCAAACTGTTACAATAATATTTTTAGACAAAAAATGATTGTATTGTTTAAAGTAATTTTTTGCGTAGTTATCCTAGTGCATATCATATTCAATCATAAATTCCTGGATCGTCAATTTGGTGTCATTATTTAACCTTCAACTTTGCTCTATCACAATCACTCTATTTGGTAGTATATTTGACAGAGTGATGTGATCGTTAATACGGAAGTCTCGAATATTTTTGAATACTATGGGTACCACACTAGATAATAAAACATTTTTTTTGTTCTTTCATGTAATATCGTAATTCGTTTATTCGTACTCTGTTTATGGAGCTCCATGGTGCAGTGACCAGAATAATCTACTTAGTACATATTTGGAACTTTATAGGTGTCATCCAGATAAATAATCCCACTTTCGCTTTTTTCTATACATGACTTGTAATAAAAACTTAAAATTAATTTAAAAAAAAAATAAAAAAAGGCCTTTACCTAGTGTTCATGACAACACTTTATTTCTGGATCATCCTTTTGCAATTTTTAAACCGGCATTTTTTAAGGTATAAAACCACACTGTTATGGACCACACTGTTCTTTCCCACTGGTCTCTGTGTTAACTGCTGTTTTATGTAAATTCTGAAAATCACTTTCAATGGAAGTGGTATAAAGTAAATTTATATAAATATTATATTTGTATCAAATATAAAGCAGTAATGCATATAATGCATTATTCGATGCAATGGATTGTGCTGTGAAAAAATAAAAACGTAAGAAACGCGATAATCGCGTAAAACACACTACGTGGAGTAGTAAATGTAGCCCCATGCGTGTTTCTTAATAAAATAAAATCAAATTAAATAAAAAACCATGGCTCCGCGCGTAGACGATAAGAAAGCTAAGCTTCCCCTCCTCGGTCACACCCGGAGTGCCACATCCCGTTTTTATTATTTATGTTTGTCATCATTTAGTTTTCCCTTGTCCACTGCTGGATATAGATCTCACTTATAATTTTCTATGGCAACGTTTTAGATCGTCAGTCCAGTGTTTTGGTGGATGACATCTGCTTCGGTAGGCATCATCTCTTAGTCTACTTTTCAGTATCAGCTTTGTGTATCATTTATCTCTCATTCGAGCCACGTGACCTGCCCAGTTCCACTTCAATGTTGCTATTTTTTCTACAGCATCGGCCACTCCTGATCTTCGTCGTAAGTGGCGGTTTGGGATCTTGTCTCGTAGTGAAATGCCCAATATAGCACGCTGTATCTCCCTTTGAGCCAAACGGATCTTTTGCACTATTCTTCTTGTCATGGTTAACGTTTCCGTTCTCCACGTCGACACTGGCAAAACACACTGATTAAAGGTTTTTCTTTGAAGACATATTGGTATGTCGGACGAATTGAAAATGTGGTTCAACTTGCTGAAGTCTGCCCAAGTCAGTCTTACATGACGGGGGAGCTCAACACTTTTGTTATCTTTTCCCATGCGGATCTCGTGACCTAGATATTTATAAGCCAATACCTGGTCTGTGGATTTTGTTCCTACGCATATATCTTTGCGTACTCAAGAGTTGTAATCATCTAGGATTTAGATATATTTATTTTCAACTTTCACTTTAAAGTTCTTTGGTCTTATCTATCCTATCAGCTAATAGCCTAGTATCATCTGCAAACCTCAGGTGGTTTAGCTTTTCTCCGTTTATGCTCTTGTCAGTCAGTTTTGCCCTCTTATTTATGTCTCTCATTTCGACATACATATACACGAGAGGCACTAGG